CCACTGGTGTTGTGCAGTGTACTACCTGTACAACTATACATGGTGGACCTACCAGCAGCCTACTTCCTCCTAGCCTGAGAGACACACTTCAGTCCTTATGGTATCTGGCCACTCTCAAACTCTCCTGTGACCATGCTTCCTTGAAATGCTGTCTTCCTTTGGCAGGTATGACAGCACACTGAATGTTCTTGCTGCTCCTTTCTTATCCTCTCAGGCTCCTGTTCTTTAATATTAAGTCCATTTCAGAGTCCTGTGCTGGTTTATCTTCCTTTGTTACTTGACGCCTCTCTCTAAGTGATCTCAATCACATTCATGCAACATTTACTGAGTGCCCGCTCTGAGCCGGGCATTGTTCTAGGCACTGACCGCTTGCGATTTTCAAGTACCTGCCAATGAATTACAAACGTGTCTCAGATTCACATATCCGTCTGCCTCCCCGAAATCTGAACTTGGATACCACATGAACTCCTCAACCTTAACTTGTCCAGAACTGAGTTCCTCATCCTCTCCAGATCTATTCCTGTTCCTGGGCTTCCTGTTTTAGCAAATGATATTCATTCACTTCCCCAAGCCTGAAAGCTAGAGTCATTCTAGACTCTTCTCTCTCACCCACTCAAGAAAGCAGTAAGTCTTATTTTTCTACTTTCTAGATACATCTCAGTTTCACCCACTTCTCCGCATCTCCATTGCCACCACACCGGTCTCCACCCCAGTCTAAGCCACTGTTATTTCCCTTATAGAATACAGCAGCAGGTGCCCTCCTGGCCTCTGCCTCCTGGCCTTCTCCCTGTGAATTCATCCAGACGACACTTCCTATGACACGAGGCTGATGATATCAAGCTCTTGCTTAAAACCCTAAAATGACCTTGGGAGTTAAGTTCTAACTCTTCAATGTGATTTACAAGGTCGATCTTGATCAGGTACCTGCTCTACCTCTTTGCCTTCATTTCTCTCCATTTTCCCTTCCCCCCTGCACTCATTCATTCATTCATTCTTTCCTGCATCCATACTGAATTCCTCTTAGCTCTGGAACATGCCATTCTCTCTCTAGTCTCTGGACTTTTGCCTATGCTGTCCCCTCTGCCTGGAATAGCTCATTTGCTGCTCCCCACCACTTTACCTTGCTGATAGCATCTTTTCTTCAAGCTTCAACAGAGATCCGAGTCCCCTCTGAAATTCCAAATCTGGGACAAAGGTCTTTTTCTGGGCTGCCATAGTAAGCTGGTAGCATTTATCACACTGTAGGGTAATTGCCTGTTAATTGGCCTATATCTCCCTTTAAGTGTAAGCATCCAAGAGGGTATGGACCTTCCCTCTCCTGTTTAATATTTCATTCTTGGGACCTAGTACAGCAACTGGCACATAGTAGCTGCTCAGTAAATATGTGTTGAGTGAATGAATAGTGGATGACTGTAGGATATGGAATCCAAAAAGCCTGGTCCTGATTTTGTACTTCACCTTTGGAAAGTCTTTGTTAGTGTTGCTATACCTCAATTTCCTCACTTGTAATATGAAAATATAATATAGAGTATGGTAGTTTTAAAACACAGTCCCCAAATTCTCTGACACTTCTGTCACTGAGAGGTAGGGGCTTATGTCTTCTCCCTTAGAATTCGGGCTTTGTGATTTCTTGACCAAAAGATCACAACAAAAGCGATGCCATGGCCATCTGGGGGCTCAAGTCTTAAGGAACTGGCAACTTCCATTTGGTTTCTGTTGGAATGCTTGCTGGTGGGGTGCAGGTACCACACCAGAGGGACGCAGCTCCAGAGAGGCCCGCGGGGAGAAGACTCAGGCCTCCAGCCCTCAGTTTCTGCTGAGCTCCAAGCCAGCACCCAGCACCAACTTGCCGGCCATGGGAACAAGCCATCTTGGAAGTGGATCCTCCAGCCCCATTTGATTGTCCACCCCACGTGGAGAGAATTTTCCTCTCTGAGCCCAGCCCAAAGTACAGAATCCGGAGGTAAAGAAATAACTGTGCTTGTCTTAAGGTCTAAGTTTCGGTGGTTTGTTATGCAACAAGCAATACCCCGAACAGACCTTGATACCTGGAAGTGAGGTGGCTGCTGCCATGACACTCAGTGCTGGCTTGGGGACTAGGCAGCAGACAGAAGCCAGAGAGGGGACCAGGAGCGTTAGCGACAAGGTAGGAGGCTGGCAGCGAGGATTTAAGAGAAGTGAAGAAAATGTTATCAAGAGCAGTGGTCCCCAACCTTTTTGGCACCAGGGACCAGTTTCATGGAAGACAATTTTTCCATGGATGCGGCTGGGGCAGGGGCAAGGTGGAGCTCTGTGGCCCAGTCCTTAACAGCTATGGATGGTATCGGTCCACAGCCCGGGAGCTGGGACCACAGATCTAGAGAAGGGAAAGGGGACTCCAGTTATGTAAGAAAGTTTGGCAACACTGTTGCCATTGCTTCCTGTAACGTAGAAAGTAAAGTGTACTTTACGAACTCAGTGACCTTATTAAAGAGATTTCTAGGCTGCGTTTCCAAAGTGCTGCCTGACTTCTTCTAGCTGGCTGGCTGGCTAGAAGCACCTCTTTCCACTGCCATGCATGTACCTACCAGTCATGTCGTCAGAGACACTGTCTCCTTGCATGCAATTACATACACCCTGGGGCTTCCCCAGGTCTCTGAAGAGTTGGCACTGTAATGACACTGGCTGGCTCTTTGTCTTCCAGGCTACTCGACCCTCTTGAGGAAAGCGGCAAACAGAAGGCCAACGTGGTCAGCATTGCTATCTTAGACAACCTGGAGTGGGACTGGCAGAAGAATAACCATCTCAAAATTGGAAATCAGATCACTGTCTCTTATCATTTGTGGTTCATTTGGCTTTCTTTGCTCTTCTGTACTGTAGCTTCTCCTCTCCACCATGATTTTCATTAAATATCTACACAAAAATGTTTATGATATATGCAAAATGTATAAAAAATAACCAATCCTCCCTACCATCATAATCATGAACCTGCATTTTGTGTTTCCTTGTTTTTCTCTATAGTTTAACTATGTATGTATCCCTACTGATATATTTGATTATTTAATTTTGCTTGTTTTCTGACCTGAAAGAAATGGGATCATACTGCATGCATTGTCCTGCAACTTACTTGAATCTCTCAACATTATGTTCATGAGTTTCACTGATTTGGTTTTTATCTTAATCTTTGTAACTGATCTATAAAACAAATGACTACTCTCTATGTCCATTCTGGCACAATGTGTTCTCCATATCAGGTGGCCAAATACACCATTCAATGATACTGGGCAGGATATGTCCACAAAATAGCCAGGCAGCGCATTTTAATGCAGGCATAGTTGTAATATTCAGGAAAAAGAGCTTCCAGATGAGGTATAAGCTTTTAGGCAAAGACTGAACATGAATCATTTGGTATAAACCTTTGCAAATGTATGTATACCTACCCAAGTGCATGCCTTCATTATTTACCTTGACAAATGCATTGTTATACAAATGCAAAAAGAATTGATAAAGCTTCATTAGTCCAACTTTCCCATCATTTCTATATGTATCTTTGCATTAGTGTAAATAATTGAGAGAAACCAACAGAAGGGAATGGAGAGAATCCTGTGCCTTACCTGCTCCCTTTACATATTCCTTAAGTAAATGCAATTTTTTTTTTTTGAGACAGCGTCTCATTTTGTTGGCTGGGCTAGCGTGCTGTGGTGTCAGCCTAGCTCACTGCAAACTCAAACTCCTGGGCTCAAGCAATCCCTCTGCCTCAGCCTCCCGGGTAGCAGAGACTACAGGCATGCATCACCATGCCCGGCTAATATTTTCTCTATATATTTTTAGTTGTCCAGCTAATTTCTAATTTTTTTAGTAGAGATGGGGTCTCGCTCTTTTTCAGGCTGGTCTCAAACTCCTGAGCTCAAAGGATCCGCCCGCCTCAGCCTCCCAGAGTGCTAGGATTATAGGCGTGAGCCACCACTCCCGGCCATAAATATCATAAGTAACAGATAAATGTTTCATTCAATGTAGAAAAGAAAACAAAAATAACAGTTAATCCTCTGGGCTTGAAATCAATACAGATAGTATTTTCCTAGATACTAGAGTATTTGTTTCTTCAGCCAGTCTCCATTGATATTTCAGTTTTCTGGTTCTAAATCTTGGCTGCCTTTTGCAATCACCTGTTGAACTTAAAAAAATTCTGATGCCTGCATCCGACCCTGGGAGATGCTGATGTAATTGGTCTGGGGTGGTGCCTGATCATGGAGGTTTCTTTAAACTCCAGTGACTCTAATATACAGCAGTTAGAGAACCTTGGTTTACATTATAATACTTTGTCCTATTCTCACAGTGTCTACTATGGTGCCTGGCAGAGACTGACGCTCATAATGAATAAATAACATTCCACTTGTCCAGAACGAAGGCAACATAGTTTCTGAACCACAAACACAAACAAACCACAAAAAGGGACAAGTCAGGCCTGGGCAAAGACAACGAGGAGACAAGTCCTGCCAGGTAAGTGGGTGTGCAAATTTCTATGTTGACTAACTAGAAAAGGTGTCATCCCCAAAGGGCAGGTATTGTCCAGCCAAGTTCCGAAGGCCTCCGTGGTTCCAAGTTCACTAAGAAGTTCAGGGGTGCCAGGGTGTGTGTGGTTCGTACAAGTGAGGCAAAGGCTGAACAGGCAGGTGTGGGCACTTCCAGCCCTGGCCCAGGTCTGGACGACTTTAGAGCCCACCTAGGAAGCTCTCTCCGCTCCAAATTGCAGTGCGGCAGCTCTTCCCGCGCTGGGAAAAGGGAGCGCGCAGCGTGCGCCACCGCGAGCTGGGCCAGGCCCGCTCTGCCCGCGAAGGTCAAGTGCAGCCTGCGGCTCCGGGAGCGCGAGCTTTGCGCAGCGAATGACCCCGGCCTGCACGCGGCGCGGCCGGAGCTGCTGTCCGAGGGCGCCCGGCCACACGGGGTATGGACTACACGTCCCGACATGCCTCGAGCAGGGGTGGGGCGGAGCCGCAGCGAGCGGGAGGCCGGCCGGGCCGGGCGTGCGCAGTGGCTCTTGGGAGTGGCGGAGCTGGCCGGCCCCGGCTGTCAGCTGTGGCCTGGGGCGCCCGGGCGGGGGTGGCCCCGGCCATTGGCGGAGAGGCGCGCGGGGCGGGGCCGCCGCCAGCCGCTGCGAGCAAAACCGAGCAGGCGGAGGTAGGCGGCCGGCCCGGGAGGCACGGCTCTGGCTGCTGCGTTCGGCCCGGCCATGGCAGCGGCGCCCCTGAAAGTGTGCATCGTGGGCTCGGGGAACTGGTGAGCGGCGGCGGGCTCCGCCTCCAGGAAGCCCCTCTCCTGGGGGGGCGAGGGCCGCGCGCGTCCCGGCAGCGGCATGGGCACCGGGCACCGCGCGCAGGGAGGTGGGTGGGCGACCTTGCGGCCAGGCTGGGCACCGCGCGCCCGGCCAGGCTGCGCCCAGGCACTCGCGCGGGTGGCGCTGAGCTCGCCTGCCCACCGGGGGCGGCGCGGAGAGAGGGCACGGCGTGCCGGCCAGCACCTGTCTGCGCCCTGGTTACCGCGCGGCGGGCTCACGGAGGCCACCTGCTCGCCACGACCGGGCGTTTTGCACGACACCCCAAAGGCGTTCTCCACTCCCCACGGCCCATCGCCCGGTCGAGGAATGGAAGGAAGCTCGAGCATGCATTCTTGCTCTAGTTCCGGTGTTGGGGAAACCGAGGCAGAGAGCGCTAAAGAGCACTTGCTGCCCAGGTCGTGGGCGCTGCCCTTCAAGGTGTCTGTCTTGTCCCCGCTTCTGATGCGTCCGGTATTTTAGCAAGGTTGTTGTCAGGAAGAAAACTCAAGTTTCAACAGGCCGTTCCCCCAGGAGCGTTGAGAATTCTCCTCTGGGAGATGTTTGCGAAGCGTTGCATCTTCACTGGGCTTTATTTGACTTTAGCATTTATAAAGCACTTTACAAATGTCTTTTAATACCCCTTTTAATACCCCTTATCAAACTTAAGACAGTGGGATTCAGAGATGTGTTTGGATGAATTTGGGGGATGGGGTGCGCAGAGTGTAGCATCTGGTATTTCCAAGATTTTTTCCATTGCTGTGCACTCTTTCTCCCCACACCTGAGGGACTGGTAGAGAATAATTGAGAATCATGTGCCCTTTCATTGCTTCCATTTGCCTGTGTTCTGTGGCCTGACACGCATCACAGTTCAGGCTTCCAGGAGTGCTGCAGCAGTTGGTGCTAGGTATTGGGTCTTAGTCCTACTCCTTTAGGACTTGGCCCAGAAAGTACTTGGAGGAAACCTTACCTGGTTCTCCACTTTTCCATGCCAGTAACACCAGCAGCTTTTTCCTGTGCTCTATCACTGCATTATATTATCTGATTATATCTTCATTCCTCTCTACTCAGCTCTTGAGGATAGCATCTAACCTACCCTAGTGCCTGGCATATGCCAAGAAAATACTAAATGAATGTCTGAAAACTAATTTTTTTTTTTTTTTTTGAGACAGAGTCTCTGTTGCCTGGGCTTAGAGTGTGTGGCATCAGCCTAGCTCACAGCAACCTCAAACTCCTGGGCTTAAGCGATCCTCCTGCCTCAGGCTCCCAAGTAGATGGGCTAATTTTTTCTACATATTTTTAGTTGTCCAGCTAATTTCTCTCTATTTTTCTAGTAGAGATGGGGGTCTCACTCTTGCTCAGGCTGGTCTCGAACTCCTGAGCTCAAGCAATCCTCCTGCCTTGGCATCCCAGAGTGCTAGGATTACAGGCGCACCAGCCTTGAAAACTAATTTTTAAAACTGTAATTATATTTGGTTAGGTAATACATTAATATGGTTTAAAAAACAAAAAAGTACCAAAAACAGTGAACCATCTCCTGTCCACATTTGTCCCCCAGGTACCTCCTAAGGAAAACCATTGTTATTCATTTCTTCTGTCTTTTCTGGAAGAATTCCAGGCTAGTGCAAGTGAATGTTACACATGCATATTCCTTTTGCCCTCTGCCCTACAAATAGTAGCGTGTTGTGTACTTTTCTGTAAGCTGGGTTCTTTGGTTTTTGACCACCAACAAAATGTTCTACACAGTGTTTAATGGAGTTGGTACCTGTTGGCTGCATAGCTTCATTTGAACTTCCAGCTTGGCTTTGCCAGTTTTGATCCCAAGGTCACTTGCGTGAGATGTCAGCTGCTCTGTTGGCCTTGCCACTGGAAAAGCACCCATTTTAGCACATGTTCTTTAAACATTAGTTTCCTTTTCTGTAAAAGTCCACAGATGACAGCCCTTTTTCCTAGTTTGCAAGGTGCAGTAGAAGTAGCACAGCTTTGCCACGCTGAATTTGGGCCTGGAGCACGAATACTGAAGTGAACCTCCTGCCCCTTCCACTGGGATTTGGCTGCCTGCCCACAGCATCTCCACTGTGATGTACTTCTCTGCTTTCTTGGCCCATGCCAGCCCAGGGAAATAGAGTAGAACTTAGCCAGTGACACTGAAACAGCAATTGAGAAATGTGCCGATGGTTTGGGCTGGCTGCCTAGCTCCATTAATTATGGGATCAGACGGGAACAGTTGTTGGCTTCTCTGCTACTACCGTGGATGCAGAGCCACTCCAGTACTAGAGAGAGGATCACGACCTCCCCAGGGAGACTGAGGGATTTAGGAACTGCAGACAACATGGAGAGGCCCCAAAGGCATATTCAGCTCTGGTCAGTAGACATTGGACTGTTACCTGGTGTAGATACTGTAGTCTAAGCAGAGAAACAGACCTAGCTGGACACAATCCCTGCCCTTAAGCAATGTATCTTTAGAGTGAGATAGATGAGGGCTTGGAAGATAAGATCAGAAGAAATACAAAGTGGAATGGAATATATGTTCCAAGATTAGGCTTTACATTTTAAATAATGTTTCTTAAAGTGTGGTCCTAAGACTACTTGAATCCAAATTACCACTGAGGCTAGACTTGCTGAATCATACTCCCTTAGGGTGAGACATTTTTCCCTAAGGGAATTCAGACTTTTGCTAATTTTAAAACAGATTACTTGGCCGGGCGCTGTGGCTCACGCCTGTAATCCTAGCTCTTGGGAGGCCGAGGCGGGCGGATTGCTCAAGGTCAGGAGTTCAAAACCAGCCTGAGCAAGAGCGAGACCCCGTCTCTACTATAAATAGAAAGAAATTAATTGGCCAACTGATATATATATAAAAAATTAGCCGGGCATGGTGGCGCATGCCTGTAGTCCCAGCTACCCGGGAGGCTGAGGCAGAAGGATCACTTGAGCCCAGGAGATTGAGGTTGCTGTGAGCTAGGCTGACGCCACCCACGGCACTCACTCTAGCCTGGGCAACAAAGCAAGACTCTGTCTCAAAAAAAAAAAAAAACAGGTTACTAAGATCTGGACCTACCCTTCCAAATCTAATCCTCACCTCTGCAATGTAAAGTTGCTTATGTAATATTTACACTTGAGACTTGGAGGAAGCTCAGTGTGCTTGTGTAAATAAAGGTGTGGTCATACATAAGCTCATAGCTAAGAGGTAGATAGAACTCTCACACTGAGTGGTAACCTCATGTCAACTGTCATCAGTTGCAATCCGGTTACCAGAATACTGAATCTAGCTGGCTTTCCAGGGAGTTTCAGCCAGGAAGGACCTGGGCAGAAAAGTAAACAAGTTGTATAACGTGTCCTTGGTCCCATCCTTTGGTGAAACTTCTGCCAGACAGGTCAGAGAGAGGCCGGAGGAGGGGCCCTCGTGCACCCAGCTGAGCCCTGCTGTGCTACCCTCTGCTGGTGGGGCAGGGAGGGTCTTCCTAACTTGGCATGACTTTTCCTGGCCCTGTGACTTGTGACTCAGGAAAACAGCAAAAGCTTCTCAGGTTCCTCCAAAGATGAAACAAAAATTTTTGTTTGTTTGCCAGCACTTTGGGAAGATCACCCAGACAGAGAGCAAAATACAGCTCTAGAGCTAAAACTTCAGGGCTGTATTTATAGCCAAACCCGTGGTAGGGAGTATATATATATATGTGCAGAAACATCCCAAACCTCCTTTGGGGGCAGGATGGAGCAGTGGCATGAGGAGACACTTGGGAAAGGTAACTCCCTGGATTTCTGTCCAGGTCCCCCACTTGGCAGCTCTGAGGCCTTGGACAAATTGCTTCTCTCTCAGAATCATTGCTTATAATATTGATACCTGCTGTCTAGGATTTTGATTAGGATTAAATGAGTTGATCCAGGGAAAGTGCATGGTGACTAGCATTGAATAAAAGTCAGCTGCTCTTATTAGTTTCATCATCCTTGACCAGAGCTGTCACTAAATGGACCGGATTGGGGTTTGGCCCAGGGGTAGATGCAGAGGATGGGAGAAAAGACAAAGGACAAGGAGATGACTGATAGGCAGCTAGTGGAGTTTTCCTGGAAGTTGCTTATCTGTTGCACTTGTTTTTACATCATCCCACAGCCTGAAACTTCGAGACTGAAGGTTAGGGAGTGCTTTGGCCCACTTTGCAATGATGACTGAAGCTGGACATGTGACTCTGTCTTTTTAGGGGGGTCTCTTGGAACCAGCTGAATGCAATGCTCTGGCTCTTTGTCCACCTTGAGCACCCTTTTATTTGTGCTTCTCTAGTGTTTGTCGTGATTCTTTGCCGCTCAGAGAGCTCAGCAACAGTTTGAGGGACTGTAATTTAGCTCCTCTGTGGTCAGAAATAATCCCTTCCCGTTGCTAGGCAGCACTGATACACCTCTGCCTTGGAGGCAGGAGGGAGAGTTTAACCATAGGATGTAGCCTAGAGCTGAACTGGGAAGAGATTCAGAGTTGCTTTGCGGGCTAGGGTGAGAAAGTCTGTACAATTAAAAAAAAAAAAAGTCATATTGAATCACCTGTTTCCTTTACCTCCTCCACCTGCTCAGTATAAAAATCATGAGTACTATTGTAGGAATGAGTCCAGAGCTCTCAGTTTTTGTATCTTGATCTTTTCACTTCTTCACCCTCACTCACCTCTTTCTTCATTCTTCTCTTCTACTTCCTCCTCTCCCTAAAGAGGGAGAATTATTATAACAGCTGCCACTCATTGATCCTTGTCTGTGTGTCAGGTACATGTGTTATTTCATTTAAACCTCAGAACAGGCCCGTGTGGTACTATTGTTATCCCTATTTTAGGTGACATAGCTGAGATTTAGAGAAAACTTGCTCAAGGTCAAAGCAAGGACCTGGGTTGAAACCCAGATCCTCTGACTCCAACACCATGTTTCTATAAATTCTTACCATTTTCAGTGAGAAGCATACTTTTACATGAGGACAAATCTCATTGTCATA